TATTAGTACCACTACTATTACCACTACTATTATTACTACCACTACTACTATTATCACTACTATTATTACTACCACTACTACTATTATCACTACTATTATTACTACCACTACTACTATTGCTACTACTATTACTGCTACTACTATTACCACTACTATTATTACTACCACTACTACTATTGCTACTACTATTACTGCTACTACTATTGCCACTACTATTATTACTACCACTACTACTATTATTACTACCACTACTATTACCACTACCATCATTACTACCACTACTATTATTACTACCACTACTACTATTATTACTACCACTACTATTACCACTACCATCATTACTACCACTACTATTATTACTACCACTACTACTATTACCACTATTATTACTGCTACTACTACTATGGGTGCGTTATTGCTCATGGATGCAGGAGGCCAGGCAGGCCAGGCAGGCCAGGCAGCAGGCAGGCCAGGCCAGGCAGGCCAGGCAGCACAACACTGGTAATACAACATATACACTTGCTGTAGCAAAAAAATAAATAAATAAAAATGAAGATGAAAGAAGTGAGATAAGGTGAGGATGATGAGGCATTTATGTAAGTTACATAAACACACACACACACACACACACACACACACACACACACACACACACACACACACACACACACATAAAATACTGCGCGGAATAGACGAGGTGGACAAAGACGGGATGTTCCAGAGATGGGACACAGACACAAGAGGTCACAATTGGAAGTTGAAGACTCAGATGAATCAAAGGGATGTTAGGAAGTATTTCTTCAGTCATAGAGTAGTCAGGCCATGGAATAGCCTAGAAAGTGATGTGGTGGAGGCAGGAACCATACATAGTTTTAAGGCGAGGTATGATAGAGCTCATGGGGCAGGGAGAGAGAGGACCTAGTAGCAATCAGCGAAGAGGCGGGGCCAGGAGCTGTGACTCGACCCCTGCAACCACAAATAGGTGAGTACAAATAGGTGAGTACACACACACACACACACACACACACCACACACACACACACACACACACACACAAGGTGTATAGAGACAGAATGTTGCAGAAATGGGACACAGCAACAAGGACTCACAACTGGAAGTTGAAAACTAGGATGAGTCACAGGGATGTTAGGAAGTATTTCTTCAGCCATAGGGTTGTCAGGCAGCGGAACAATCTGGAAAGTGATGTAGTGGAGGCAGGATCCATAGATAGCTTTAAGAAGACGTATGATAAAGCTCCTGGACCAGGGAGAGAGAGTGGACCTAGTAGGGACCAGCCTATTTGTGGTTGCAGGGCCCCTGCAACCACAAATAGGTGAGGATACACACGTACATCACTTGTTTCTCTGCTTATAAGATGAATTCATATATTTTAGGTCTTTTAAAATCACATTATTTAACATTAATATTGTTGACACTCCAGTCAGCCTGTTCCTTCACCTATAAATATTGTACTCTTAAACATGCTAAATTTAGTTTAAAACATGACAGGAAATATATGTGTACGTCATATATTATAGGTTTATGTGAATGAATATTAGACACCCTCCTACTCTTTTCTGAGTAATTGTGTATGAAATACATCCTGTGTAATATATGTCAGCTAGTCAGGTTTGTAAGTAGTTTTTGTTTCCACGGTGTAATTCATACAGAGAACAAAAAGGCACAATACCATGACTGGAACAATACACATATAACCCGCACATAGGAGAGAGGAGCTTACCACGACGTTTCGGTCCGACTTGACCATTTACAGTCAAACTAACAGGAAGGAGAGAAGGAGCAAGTATACATAAGTAAGCTGACAGGGACGGGACAAGAGAAGACGTAGTAATGGTAGTGTGAAGTAGGGAGAGAGAGAGATTAGTGGAATAAAAAAATAGAAAAAAGGAGGTAAAAGAGAAGGTAGGAGCCAAAGGCAGTAGGAAAGGGAGCAGTAGTAGTGATGGAGTCAGACAAGAGCCATGAAAGAGGAGCACTACAGGAGAGATAAAACTCCCAAGGAAGAAGAAAGAAAAAACAGAAAAAGGGAAAAAAGGAAAGGAGAAGAGGAAGAAAGAGGGAAAAAAAGAAACAGGTTAAGTCACGTGTGTTCTGAAGTTTGGAGTATTTGACAATGTAATGGGACAGGAAGGCATCTGCAGTGACAAAACCAGGACTAAGGTACATACAAGGAAACCATACCCCCGGCCGGGATTGAACCCGCGGTCATAGAGTCTCAAAACTCCAGCCCGTCGCGTTAGCCACTAGACCAGAGGTGCCTGTGCTAACCTTCCTATGGTGTAGAAATATACCTAGTTGGATGAATCTTATTGTGGCTAGCTGGTCTAGTGGCTAACGCGACGGGCTGGAGTTTTGAGACTCTATGACCGCGGGTTCAATCCCGGCCGGGGGTATGGTTTATTTGCAATCGTGTCATTACGATTTCTTAAGACATACAAGGAAAGTTGTGTATAATAGAGGATTCAACAAGACGTTGACTTTGAAAGTTAGAAGTGAAATAGACAGTTTTAGCAGAAGACCAGTCAATAGGATGACTGTGATCTTTAACATGACAGAAAAGATATTTGTCGGTGTCAGCATGCCTATCACTTTTGAGCTCACTGAGTCTGTCAGAAAGAGAACAGCCAGCTTCTCCAAAGTACTGAAGAGGACAAGAGGACCCAGGTTCTCTACACATATGCTGCTATGTATGATAATCTATGTAACTGTATTTATGTATACTAGAATAAACTTATTCATTTACTTACTAAGAGGAACATGAAATAGAGTAGGTAAAGGACCCCAATGGAAATAAGTCACTCTGTCTGACTTTTTTGGGTTATCCTAGGTTCTCTACACATATGCTGCTATGTATGATAATTCTATGTAACTGTATTGTGTATACCTGAATAAATTTACTTACTTACTTACTTACTTACTTAGACACCCAGGGCATCTACAGCGAGCGGGAGAGGCGCGAACAAGATTAATGCGAAGGGTGTTAGTCTGGCGAAAAGTAAGTTTGATGTCTAAGGAACCGAGATAGTTGTTGAGACTAGAAACACTGGAAATATTGGGAAGGCAGAAAACAGGAGAGTTCACGGGAGTAGAGAGTTTGGGAGAGAAGAAAGTACGTTTAGCACGTGAGAAGGTAGAGTCTATGAAATGGGAAGGGCAGCCAAGACGAGAGAATGAATTACGAAGAGTGGAAACTTCCGAGTCAACTCATACAGAGTAAGCTAGCGGTACACTGTAGGGGAAGAGTACTGGGTTATTAAGTCTGGAAGGCTGATAACCCAGGGTAACCAAGACAAGCCAGGTGAAGACTACTGGGTTATTAACCCTTCAGGATACCCAAGACAAGTCAACTCTTGAGGGTTGATAACCCAGGATGCCCAAGACAAGCCAGGTGGCCTACACGTAAACCATAGCACCTTCCCCAGGATGCCACCCAAAACATTCTAATAACTCCTAGCTACCTATTAACTGCTAGGTGCGCAGGATCAAGAGGTTGCGAAAAACCTGCCCGTACATCTTGCTCGGCATAAGACTCAACCCCGTTGTTTTATCCTTAAAATAATAATATCTTTATTTATACAAGTACATGTACAAGGTATACAAGTACATGTACAAGGTATACAAGTACATGTACAAGGTATACAAGTACATGTACAAGGTATACAAGTACATGTACAAGGTATACAAGTACATGTACAAGGTATACAAGTACATGTGCAAGGTATACAAGTATATGTACAAGGTATACAAGTAAATGTACAAGGTATACAGACCATAGTTGATATCAATGACGTACTACTATATATAAAGCCGCTTGTTATGCTGAGTATTTCGGGCAAATTAGGTCAGTTTTGTCCCAGAATGCGACCCACACCAGTCCACTAACACCCAGGTACCCATTTTACTAATGGGTGAATAATGACAACCAGTGTAAAGAAAAACGCCCAATGCTTCTAACCTCGCTGGGTATTGAATCAAGACACTTACCGTGTGAGGCCAGAGCTTTAGCCACCAGGCCACAGGGCACCGTTTACATGTGTCAGCTACCTAGTTATATTTTATCCGAGGCCATGTTAAGTAAGTAAGTAAGTAAGTAAGTTTATTCAGGTATACACAAATACAGTTACATAGAATTATCGTACATAGCAGCATATGTGTAGAGAACCTGGGATAACCCAAAAAAGTCAGACAGAGTGACTTATTTCCATTGGGGTCCTTTAATCAGTTATTTAATCAACCAGATACAAGTCGTGGTTTTTATGACCAGGCAAAACAGGCTGGAGGAGGTTAAATAGGTTTATTTAAGCACAGATATAAGTACAATTATAATTACATAGTATAAATTACCCAGGATAACTCCCCAAAAACTAAGACGTTCTTTGAAAGTTTACAATCACAACTTTTCATCATGTGACAAGAAGCATGCGTACCCAACCCCCGCCCCCCCAAGAAAAAAAATTCCCGGGATTAATCAAGGTAGAAGAGTGGATGAAGATCGGGTGAATGAAGGAGTCATGGTGGTGGGTGATGCAACTCTGTGAGGTATGTATGCAGACAGGAATATTCCACTCGTCTCCTTGCTATACTTTTAGATATCCCGGTCATCTCATCACAAACATCATAGTTTGCTTGATCATGTCTCATGCTGTGTCTTACACTGTCATGGAACACCTGGGGTGGATTTAACAAGTGGTACAAACATGTGCTGTGGTATAAAACAAATAATGACGCTTAGAACAAGAAAATATAAACTGGCATCATAGCATCATTAGTAACATATTGACCGGCAAGTGTGTGTAAGTACTACATATTAACTTATAAAACGTGAATAATGACTCGTACAACACACATATATAACCTGACGCACTTTAGTATTAATAAGTAACGTAGGTGGTAGGTTAGAGGATTATTATTGGTTCTGTAAGAGCGGTTAATGGCAACTAGAAGGCAGTGAAGGCAGCCAAGGCTTTATAAAGTGTGGTAGAGAAGGCTTGGGCGCAGTGCTCCCACCACCACTATATAGTGTACTGTGTCCTACAACACACTACATCTTTCTTTGTTATAAACAACAATGACATAGTTTGCAGTGACTGTTGTAGCAGTGGCCATAAAGGCGTGTACAAGCGTGTTTTACCTTCCTTAACCACGCCACCTCAGGATTTTTGCAAGGCGCGGAAGATTTAAATGTCTGTGGATAGACTTTGGGTCATCTCACAAGACAGTCAAGACGTCAAGTGCAACGTAAGTCAGGTCATGTTTGTTCTTGCTACTGCACGAATTTAAAGAGAGATTGTAGGTGTATTAATAGCTTATATTTTCGCTAGTTCATTGTGCTTTACAGGAATAAAATACGAGGAATGTATAACCCATGGTTCATGTATAACCCATGGTTCATGTATAACCCATGGTTTATGTGTAACTCATGGTTCATGTATAACCCATGGTTTATGTGTAACCCATGGTTCATGTATAACCCATGGTTCATGTGTAACCCATGGTTCATGTATAACCCATGGTTCATGTATAACCCATGGTTCATGTATAACCCATGGTTCATGTATAACCCATGGTTCATGTATAACCCATGGTTCATGTATAACCCATGGTTCATGTGTAACCCATGGTTCATGTATAACCCATGGTTCATGTATAACCCATGGTTCATGTATAACCCATGGTTCATGTATAACCCATGGTTCATGTATAACCCATGGTTCATGTATAACCCATGGTTCATGTATAACCCATGGTTCATGTATAACCCATGGTTTATGTGTAACTCATGGTTCATGTATAACCCATGGTTTATGTGTAACCCATGGTTCATGTATAACCCATGGTTCATGTATAACCCATGGTTCATGTATAACCCATGGTTCATGTATAACCCATGGTTTATGTGTAACCCATGGTTTATGTATAACCCATGGTTCATGTATAACCCATGGTTCATGTATAACCCATGGTTCATGTTAAACCCATGGTTCATGTATAACCCATGGTTCATGTATAACCCATGGTTTATGTGTAACCCATGGTTCATGTATAACCCATGGTTTATGTGTAACCCATGGTTCATGTATAACCCATGGTTCATGTATAACCCATGGTTCATGTATAACCCATGGTTCATGTATAACCCATGGTTCATGTATAACCCATGGTTTATGTGTAACCCATGGTTTATGTATAACCCATGGTTCATGTATAACCCATGGTTCATGTATAACCCATGGTTCATGTATAACCCATGGTTCATGTATAACCCATGGTTCATGTATAACCCATGGTTCATGTATAACCCATGGTTTATGTGTAACCCATGGTTTATGTATAACCCATGGTTCATGTATAACCCATGGTTCATGTATAACCCATGGTTCATGTATAACCCATGGTTCATGTATAACCCATGGTTCATGTATAACCCATGGTTCATGTATAACCCATGGTTCATGTATAACCCATGGTTCATGTTAAACCCATGGTTCATGTATAACCCATGGTTTATGTATAACCCATGGTTCATGTATAACCCATGGTTCATGTATAACCCATGGTTCATGTATAACCCATGGTTCATGTATAACCCATGGTTCATGTATAACCCATGGTTTATGTGTAACCCATGGTTCATGTATAACCCATGGTTCATGTATAACCCATGGTTCATGTATAACCCATGGTTCATGTAGAACCCATGGTTCATGTATAACCCATGGTTCATGTATAACCCATGGTTCATGTATAACCCATGGTTCATGTATAACCCATGGTTCATGTATAACCCATGGTTTATGTATAACCCATGGTTCATGTATAACCCATGGTTCATGTAGAACCCATGGTTCATGTATAACCCATGGTTCATGTATAACCCATGGTTCATGTATAACCCATGGTTCATGTATAACCCATGGTTCATGTAAGCTTATTTAGGTACAAATACACAAGTACAGTTATCATAGAGTAAATTACCCACCCAAAAAAGTCAGACAGACTGACATATTTTTATTGCCACAGTCTACAAACACCTAACTTACATGGCTTTAATAATATCTTTATTTACTACCAGTACATGTACAAGGTATACAAGTACATGTAGAAGGTCTACCAGTACATGTACAAGGTCTACCAGTACATGTAGAAGGTCTACCAGTACATGTACAAGGTCTACCAGTACATGTACAAGGTCTACCAGTACATGTACAAGGTCTACCAGTACATGTACAAGGTCTACCAGTACATGTACAAGGTATACAGACCATAGCTGACATCAATAACATACTACTATATAGAAAGCCGTTTGTTATGCTGAGCAATTCGGGCAAATTAGGTCAGTGCCCCAGGATGCGACCCACACCAGTCCACTAACACCCAGGTACCCATTTTACTGATGGGGAACATAGACAACAGGTGGAAAGAAACACGTCCAATATTTCTACCTTGGCTGGGAATCGAACCCAGGCCCTCGCCGTGATTATCTTACAGTATAACTACGTTTTAACGTCATGACATATAACCATTGTATTCCTGTAATTATATCTTTGATACAAACATTTCTATACGTAATTTGGGTAAGGTTAGTTTAGCAGTGACACGAGCGGCTTGTAGGCAGGTCAAACTTGTTGAATTTTGGTGTTTCTGATCCGTAGACTATCATGGCCTGACCTTTCGTTAGGCCAGGTCGCACTTGAGTTTACTAGGCTATTAACCTCTTGAAGGTCATTTCTCCCCAACGCCAGGTTATCGGATCAGGCCTCGCTAGCTTGGTCAGTCAAGCTATTGTTGCTGGCGTAACACACTAACAAACTATATATATACATTTTTTTTAACAAGTCGGCCGTCTCCCACCGAGGCAGGGTGACCCAAAAAGAAAGAAAATCCCCAAAAAGAAAATACTTTCATCATCATTCAACACTTTCACCACACTCACACATAATCACTGTTTTTGCAGAGGTGCTCAGAATACAACTGTTTAGAAGCATATACATATAAAGATACACAACATATCCCTCCAAACTGCCAATATCCCAAACCCCTCCTTTAAAGTGCAGGCATTATACTTCACATTTCCAGGACTCAAGTCCGACTATATGAAAATAACCGGTTTCCCTGAATCCCTTCACTAAATATTACCCTGCTCACACTCCAACAGATCGTCAGGTCCCAAGTACCATTCGTCTCCATTCACTCCTATCTAACATGCTCACGCACGTGCTGAAGCCAAGCCCTCACCCACAAAACCTCCTTTACCCCCTCCCTCCAACCTTTTCGAGGACGACCCCTACCCCGCCTTCCTTTCCCTACAGATTTATACGCTCTCCATGTCATTCTACTTTGATCCATTCTCTCTAAATGACCAAACCACCTCAACAACCATTCTTTAGCCCTCTGACTAATACTTTTATTAACTTCACACCTTCTAATTTCCACACTCCGAATTTTCTGCATAATAGTCACACACACACATACCTCCCACACCATGGGATTTGGGAGGGAAAGCTTCATCTCAAGATCTTTCACGCGTCTCTGCGTTATCAGGAGCTATGCAGTGTTGCAAGTACAGCAATAGATGGATTGAGAAAGTTTTCTCAGATGAAAGGTAACGTGTACGTACACAGTGTTCAAGTACACTCTTGAGTGTATGTACACAGTGTTCAAGTACACTTGAGTGTACGTACACAGTGTTCAAGTACACTCTTGAGTGTACGTACACAGTGTTCAAGTACACTCTTGAGTGTACTTACACAGTGTTCAAGTACACTTGTGATGTACGTACACAGTGTTCAAGTACACTCTTGAGGTACGTACACAGTGTTTCAAGTACACTCTTGAGTGTACTACACAGTGTTCAAGTACACTCTTGATGTGTACGTACACAGTGTTCAAGTAACACTCTTGAGTTACGTACAAGTGTTCAAGTACACTCTTGAGTGTACGTACACAGTGTTCAAGTACACTCCTTGAGGTACGTACACAGTGTTGGAGTACACTCTAGTGTACTACACAGTGTTCAAGTACACTCTTGAGTGTACGTCACAGTGTTCAAGTACACTCCTGATGTACTTACACAGTGTTCAAGTACACTTTTGAGTGTACTACACAGTGTTGAGTACACATCTTGAGTTACGTACACAGTGTTAGGAGTACACACTTGAGTGTACGTACACAGTGTTGGAGTACACTCTTGAGTGTACGTACACAGTGTTCAAGTACACTCTTGAGTGTACGTACACAGTGTTCAAGTACACTCTTGAGTGTACGTACACAGTGTTCAAGTACACTTTTGAGTGTACGTACACAGTGTTGGAGTACACTCTTGAGTGTACGTACACAGTGTTGGAGTACACTTGAGTGTACGTACACAGTGTTAGGAGTACACTGAGTGTACGTACACAGTGTTCAAGTACACTGGAGTGTACGTACACAGTGTTGAGTACACTGGAGTGTACGTACACAGTGTTGGAGTACACTCTTGAGTGTACGTACACAGTGTTGGAGTACACTGGAGTGTACGTACACAGTGTTGGAGTACACTGGAGTGTACGTACACAGTGTTGGAGTACACTGGAGTGTACGTACACAGTGTTGGAGTACACTCTTGAGTGTACGTACACAGTGTTGGAGTACACTGGAGTGTACGTACACAGTGTTGGAGTACAATGTGAGTGTACGTACACAGTGTTGGAGTACACTCTTGAGTGTACGTACACAGTGTTGGAGTACACTGGAGTGTACGTACACAGTGTTGGAGTACACTGGAGTGTACGTACACAGTGTTGGAGTACACTCGAGTGTACGTACACAGTGTTGGAGTACACTGGAGTGTACGTACACAGTGTTGGAGTACACTGGAGTGTACGTACACAGTGTTGGAGTACACTCTGAGTGACGTCACTCAGTGTTCAGTACTACTCGAGTGTATCGTAACATGTTTGAAGTAATCTGAGTGTTCTACACTGGTTAGTCTCTTGATGTCGTACCAGTGTTAAGTACATTATGAGACTACACAGTGTTAGTTACATCTTGAGTTGTATACACAGTGGTTGTAGTATCATTGAGTGTACTAACAGTGTGTAGTAACTGAGTGTACGTACAGTGTTAGTACACTGAGTTACGTACAGTGTTGGATACATGAGTGTACTACACAGTTATGAGTACACTGGTGTAGTACTACAGTTTAGTACATGAGTTACGTACACGTGTTGAGTACACTGTGTATTATACTATATAACAGT